AACGACCTGATGTACTGGCACAACACCGGATACGGCAACCCCATATCCGGCGTTTTGGGCTTCCCCTGGGTGAATGCTACCGCCGAGCTGCTCACTTCCTCCAACGCCAGCCAGGATCTCTTCGTCTCCTTCACTCACAGAGAGCTCCCTCCTACTGTCCTTGTGACCCTAGGTCTGTTCAACAACTCCGCTTTCAGCGCCTCTAATGATGTCAATGCAACCATGCCTAATGACACTCTCAACTATCAACGCACATGGCAGAGCAGCAAATTTCTGCCTTTCCTGACCAACATCGCCATCGAGCGCCTAGAATGTGATAGCTTCGGCTACCAAGACAACGCCAACCAGACCGGTGAATATTACCGCCTGCTGGTCAACCAGAGCCCACAATTCATCGACGGATGTGTCGATGGTCCCGGTATGAGCTGCTCGAGAGTGGGTTTCCAGAACTTCATTGCGGAGAAAGGCCAGCGATTTGGCGGGTACTCGGAAAAGTGCGGCGTCAGCTATAAAAACTCCACCGATGTGCTGAGCATCTATTGAGCATGTCGTCCCTGTGACGGCGAGTTGTACAACAGTAATGAAATAATGTTTATCTCGTCCGCCGTCTAGTCCGCTACTTTGTGTACCATCCCATCCGCCATCTCGTCCATCATCTCACCTCGTCCGCACGTCGTCGACCACATCGTCCACCGGCGCGCCCACCACTTCGTCCACTACCTTATCCCCTGCCCTATCCAGCACAACGTCCAATGATACGCTCCGGACTGTCCGCCGCGAGGCGCCCCGGGACCCATGAAGCAACGATCATCATCGCTAGTTTGAGACCAGCATGGCTACCCAAGGGCCTCAGTCGGTGCGTGAGGATTGGGTGAAAGAAGTGCTTCACCACTTCGGGGCAGCAGCGTTATGAGACACGAGGGCATCATGGTTGTCTCCCCGTCGATGTAGTTGCAAGAGGTGGCCATGACAACAAACCCTCCTGAGTCTGCACACTTACTGGTCCAGCAAACACATAGTTGTCTTCGAGGAGGCGGCGATGCTCCAGCCAGCCTACCCATCATGCTTACCATGTGCTAGCCTTGGTAGAGGCTCTCGTCCGGTCCTTAGGTGTCTAGCTTGACCAAATGCTCTGAGCCGGGAATCGCGTTGGCTAGACCTTCTGAGGTGTATTGTCATGTTCAAAATAACGGCTATTGGTGTATTTGTGAATCTCCGAGGCGCATTACGAAGGGTTAGTGGTGCAAATTGTCCACAAATCGACGAAAAGCCAATTCGTTTTGAGTTTCTCTTCTAATCTGTCACCATATAAGGAGCGCGAGATAGTAGGCAGTACCGTCACTCACGACCAGGCTCTCATACCGTTTGCACTCTAATGTCAGAGCATGGATAATTGATTAGCTTTGGGTGTCGAACAAGCAAGCCAACCATCGTTCGCGCGAAGTAGGTGCTACAGCAGTCTCTAAGCATTTACTAGACTTGACACGTTCAAGTGTATAAGAGCCTGGAATCCGAAAGATGCTCGACTACGTCCAAGCAACAATCCTGAGAGGTGTCTGGTCAGTGTCGCGCAAGAAACGTCAAATCATACGGCAAATGGCACATATCCACGTATCCGTCCGTCTCTATGTCGTAGAAGCAAATATATGAGCCGAAGAGTCACGCGGTCCAACATAGACTACAACAGCGAGTTTTGTCTAAAGGAAACGGAGTACGACTCGGTGGAACTTATCTTTCGACGCGACTATCTCTTCGCGCATGATTAAAACGCCGTCGGAAGTGCCAACTGGCAAACCTATCTCACATACAGCAACCAACTCGGTCCCCATATTCACAGTGAGAGAACCCAAGAGCATAAGCGAGGGGTCCCCCACGCCACAATTTCTCAGCCAACAAGCCCGTCAATGCCGACCCCAAAGTCTGGCCAACACATTACTTGCCCGCGTCGTGATGCTCGGCGCAGGACCTTCGCGTTTGACTCGCTTCTGCACAGGTTCGACCAATGCAGAAGTTGCTGCATGGCGATGATTGTCCTCAAATGGTCGCTTACCAAGTGAATGGATCTGATGAGGATTGGATCCAATACCGGCGCCGGCGCTGGAGCCATAGTGATTGAGACCGCGTTCGAATCGGTTCACGGGAGTCCACGAGGCAGCAGAGGCGGCCTGACGGGGTATGCCGCCTTTGATTGGAGTCTTCAGTTTCCAGTCCGGTACGCATATGGTATCCTTGCACTCACCTTGTTTCTGGGGTTCTTGTGGTATATCGAGACGCTGTTGACGATCCCTTTCAGTCACGTAGTGGCGGAAGTCGCTCAATCTTGCTCGCAGATAAGCTACCTCGCCATGCTCCATGAAAGTCAGTGTGCGACGCACATCGCTCAGTCTGTATCTCAGATACTCGAGCTCATCCAGCTCCATCCGCGTGAGCGTGCCTCGTGCATCGCTGAGGTTCTGCCTCAAGCATGCAATCTCTTTGTCTCTTTGCGCAATCTGTTGGCGAAGCTGGCATTCTGTCTCGGAAGATGGTCCATGATTGGAAGATTGGGATGGCATGGTGCCGGGGATTCTGGGAGGAAAGGATGCATCGCGCTGATACCATAATGTTGGGTCGTGCTCTGCATAATTGTGAGTAGCATGGCCTGGATTTGCAACAACTCGGCGTTTCGCTATGTATATCGAAGGTTGTGAACCGACTGAGTGACGCTCGGTAGGGTGAGCGTGCTGGCGAGACTGGGATGCCATAGCATCATCTCTTAAGACAGGGGCCGGGTGCAGGGCACGTGGAGTAAAGGTGAACGCTTGTATCATGGGTGGTCGAACATCACGCACAGCGTTCATGGCAGTCGCAGTCAGTCTCCCCTGGTGTTCGCCGTGAAACCTTTCCACTGACATGGCTGCGTGCGACTAAGAGCGGCGAGTGACCGACGAGAGCAGGGACAAAATGCGTACGGGGGACGAAGAGAAGCAAAATCGCAAACAGCTCGGGAGCATGCGATCATGAGGGAAGGTGGGCAGAAAAGGTCATCCCCAGTGAAGTCAAGAGCAGCCAAGCGAGCCTGGTGTAAGCCAGATTCAGCAATCGCAAATCTGTGTCAAATGCGTAGACAGGCGACGATTAGATCGGATCGATTGTACGAGCAATGATATTCCAGTGTATAGACGTCAAGACTTGCTCGTGGCTGCCAGGTATTCTGTGACTTTCGACTGACTTCTAGAGATTGTACACCGACAACCGACATGCGCGCAATCATTGCTCCGGTGTTCCTCGGTGAGCTCAAGCACGGTTCACTTCACCTGCAGGTGTGACAGACATGGTTCAACCAAGTTGACAAGCATCCATCCGCCTGACAAGTTCCAGATATTTGCTTGCCCCACGTGCAAGACCCGTGATTGCGGCACTTCCCAATGTCAGCCTATTTGCCCTGTACGGTGATAAATTGCACCATTCTGACCACAGTGAATGGTGAAGGTCGCTTGTCAGACAGTTGTCCGATGTCGGAAGATCATGTACGCCTTCACCACCTATGTTTGACACCACGACCGTCGTGGTGAAGACTACATGTCTATATATACAGCCAGCCACGTCTCCGACTTGCTGTTCGATATATCACTTTTTCAGGAAACCACTGAGTCATCAGAAGTTCCGGGACTAGTCTTCTGAGTGGTTCGAATCCAAATGATTGGTGTTCATTCCCGCAATTGCGAGCTTGATTTTTCAACAAACCCAAAGCGGTCAATATCAAAACCAACCATCATCGCCATTGCCGGAAATACAGACAGCATGGCACCGCCGAAAGTCATAGAGGGTGCGCTCGGCATGGTGGAATCCCATAATCACACACGTAAGTATCCTCCTTCAAAACCTTCTCGACTAATGTGTAATAATTAACAACGAATATTGATAGCTGGCGAGGTCTTGAATCCCAACAAAGAAGTCTTTCTGTTTGACAAAGAGCGTGCTGAGGAATGCACGCTCCTGAAGCTCGTTCTTGACAAGACTCCCGGTGTGCTGCACGTAGAGTATGCAGAGAACAGTGACCTGGACGAGGAGCTGGAGAAATGGGTCGGGTATGACACATCGAACAAGCTGAAGTTCTGGGTTACCACGGATGGGAGCCTGACACCGGGACAGGCTTTCGAGAAGAGTTGGATGGAAGCTGGAGCGAAGGCGGTGAAACCGATGAACAAGAAGAACCAAGAGCTCTTCTGAGAAGATTGGGAGGGGATGACGAAAGGCGCTGTAACCTAGCGTGGGCCGTGGAGGCTCTAAATGACTAGCCGATAGCTTCGGTATAACTTAAACTTTCTACTGCTGCAGTGGCAATCATGTGCCTCCAAGTCTGCAACATGCGACTTTTCTGGTTGCTGGCGCATAGTTTCACTTAAGGATATCATTAAGCAGATTAACAAGCTGATGATACAAGCCTCAAGTCTGAGAAAAAGGCGAGAGTGTATAAATAACGCTAATGCGTCACGCAAAGATATCCAGATCTGAGAAAGCGGCTTCATCGATGAACACAAGTTCTATGTGATAAGCCAGGACCGATATCAGAGCATGTGGGGAATTGGGGATGAACGATAGCACAGGGGTAAAGGCGAAGTGAAGTTGAACCAGGTCGGATGCATACGGGGTACCAAAATTGCTACAACTCGAAAAACTGCTCATGAGTCTAGTGTTTTTATTGATATTGTATCCTGACATCAAATAATAAACGCGATAGCATTCCAACCTTTGCTCTTGTTGTTATGCCCTGGTATCATACCACGACTTGCAGGCGGTTCAATTGGCTTCGCATGATCGGTCATGGCAGACCAATTCCTTCATGGGCTCACCACGATGACTGCGAATGACCTGAAGTCTGCCGGGACGGCAGACGAACCCTCGAGGTTGCCCATTGCGGATCCTTTGAAATGATCAGCCTAAACACAGCGCCTGACAAAACACTCGGCCACAATTTGTGCTATATATATCATCTTTTTCAACCTCCCAAGTCGAATGGCAAGATGGCCGAGTGGTTAAGGCGCTGTGTTTAGGCTGATCATTTCAAAGGATCCGCAGTGGGCAACCTCGAGGGTTCGAATCCCTCTCTTGTCAATATTCTTTTGATTTTTGGAAGATCGTGGGGGCCTGAGGCGGCACGTGGAGGGACGGAGGCGCCTCTGACGGCGGACCGAGGGGCTCCGGCGAATGATCCCGCAACAAAAAAAACTCCTGGAAATTTTGTTGGCCAACATTAGATCAGCGGGACTGCCTCAGGTCTTACGGCCAGGCTTTGTCTTTTTTTTTCGCCATTTAGTTCTTTCAATCTCCCCTCTGGTCTGGGAGTACTTCAATCTCCACTCTCTTCTTGATATTGCTTTTGACAGTCATCTCGTCGCATTTCAGATTAAGGCGTACTCCCAGCTGCTGCTACCCCCTGCTCAGCAGCATCGAAGACCCCCGAAGATCTTACAGGGTGGGCTGAGATTCAGCCGTAAAGTTGATATCAGAAAGAAGAAGTCGCATCTCGCACAATGCCTCACCACGAGTCGCCGCCCGCAGCGGCCTCGCAACCCACTATTGTTACGTCCAAATCCGCAGCACCCTCGGTCAGCGACGTGGAAGTCATAACCAACACTATCTACACATCCAAGACGGCTCAAGAGTCGCTGGACGCCTCGTATGCTCTGACCGATCTTCTTACGAACTCAGTTGGCCATAGGGGATTGACTGGATATGGAGTACTGCAGGAGATAAAAGCCGCGGCGTCGGATAAAAAGAATGGCGCACGGAGGGAAGGGGCTATGTTCGCCTTGGGCGCACTTTTCGAGCGCTTTCCACCTCGCCAAAGGCTCTCAGAAGTCGTTTTCCTGTTCCAGGAGGACTACTGTGTGAGTGTAGCACTTGATGCGCTCGCCGATAAAGGTGCATCGGTCAAAGAGGGCGCTCGTTATGCCCTCGACAGTCTTTTTGATAACCTTGGTCCCGAGGCAAGAGTCATGGCCCTGCTACCATTACTGGTGAGGTACCTTGGCAAAACCACTGGCAAATGGCAGGGTACTGTTGGTGCATTGGAGTTGGTGGGCCGCATGGCTGACAAGGCTAAAATGGGAACGGGTAGCCAGGAGGAGGAAGCCGTCAAAGACGTCCTCAGAGAAAGCATGGGAAAGAAGCTCGAGAGCCTGATCCCGATTGTTGAAGCAGGTATGCACGATCTCAAGGCTGAGGTTGCGAAGCAGGCGATCAAGACCATGAACAGCCTGACAACACTTCTGCAAAACGACGATGTTGCACCTCGGATACCACTTTTGGTCAACAGCATGGAGAAGCCTAGCACTGAAAGCTTACAGAAGGCTATTCACGCCTTGTCTCAAACAACATTTGTCGCGGAAGTCACCAGTCCTGTTCTCGCGCTACTCACACCTCTTCTTGAGCGCTCCCTCAATAGCCCAGGCACGACCCAAGAAGTTCTGCGACAAACTGTTGTTGTCGTTGAGAACTTGACCAAGCTCGTACACGATTCAATCGAGGCTAGGGTTTTCCTGCCAAAACTCAAGCCTGGTGTCAAGGCCGTGAAGGACAGAGCTTCGCTGCCGGAAGTCAGAGAGATTGCGCAGAGAGCCTTGGATGTGATTGAGAAAGCGATGAACGAGCAGGACGGAGCAACGAAGGCGTTCTCCAGGACAAACATCGAGGACGTTGAGGCTGTTCTTCAGAAGCAGATCAAGAGCAACGGCAGCCTTGTGAATTATCCGGGAGATGCTGAAGTTTGGAAGTTGGCACAACCGTACATCTGTGCGATGGTCGCTGAAGACGTCAATGAGCGACTGATCGAACGCATCAAGAACAACATCTCTCCGTATCTCCAACCTTTATTGTCGGAGGGTGCTGCCGCCCAGGTCGCTGAAGCTGTCTATCAGTACTATCTTGAGGAGGATCATCGCAAATTTGGAGCTCCGCCTGAACCTGAGGATGGTGAGGTCGAGATCGTCAACGCTACCTTCTCTCTCGGATACGGTGGTATGCTACTCTTGTCTCATACCAATCTCCGACTCTTGAAAGGCCACCGGTATGGTCTTTGTGGCCGAAACGGAGCTGGAAAGTCAACGCTCATGCGAAGCATCGCAAACAACAAGCTGGAGGGCTGGCCTACTCCAGAAGAGGTTCGCAGCGTCATGGTTGAGCATAATCAAGGCGAAGATGCTGATATTTCAATTCTTGAATATTGTTGCAAAGATCCCGAGCTTCAGAAGGAGGGTACCGACAGGATCAAGTCAGTGCTTGAGGAGGTTGGTTTCACCTCAGGGCCCGAAGGCCGCCAGTCGCAAAAGGTTGGCACTCTGTCTGGTGGTTGGAAGATGAAGTTGGCTCTTGCTCGTGCCATGCTGATGCGGGCTGACGTCTTCTTGTTGGATGAACCTACTAATCACTTGGACGTTGGCAATGTCAAATGGCTGGCCGAGTACCTCAAGAACCACACAGATATCACGAGTCTGATCGTTTCCCACGACTCGGGTTTCCTAGATGAGGTGTGTACCGACATTATTCACTACGAGCAGAAGAAGCTTGTCACCTATCGTGGTAACCTTGCTGCGTTTGTCAAGATGAAGCCAGAAGCCAAGGCATATTACACCTTGTCAGCAGCAACTCTGGAGTTCAAGTTTCCCCCTCCTGGAATTTTGACAGGCGTGAAGTCGAACTCGCGGTCTATTCTGCGCATGACAGACTGTACATTCACCTACCCTGGCGCTCCCAAGCCTTCTCTGTACAACGTCTCCTGCTCACTCAGTCTATCTTCTCGTGTCGCCATTATCGGTCAGAACGGCGCTGGCAAGTCGACGTTGATCAAGATCTTGACAGGCGAGACTATGCCCCAATCTGGAAAGGTTGAGAAACATCCCAATCTGCGAATTGGCTACATCAAGCAGCACGCTTTGGAGCACGTTGAGATGCACTTGGAAAAGACACCGAATCAATATCTGCAATGGCGTTACGCCAATGGTGATGACCGAGAGGTTTTGATGAAGCAAACCCGACAACTGACTGCCGAGGACAAAGCTCAGATGGCAAAGTATGTTGAACTTCCCGGCTTGAACCCGAGACAAGTCGAGGCTCTGATTGGTCGTCAAAAATACAAGAAGACGTTTCAATATGAGGTCAAATGGATTGGCATGCTGCCTAAGCACAACACCATGGTCAGTCGTGAAACGCTGATGGATTTGGGCTACCAGAAGCTAGTGCAGGAGTTCGACGACCACGAGGCATCACGAGAAGGCTTGGGTTTCCGACAGCTCGAGCCAAAGGTCATTAGCAAGCATTTTGAAGACGTTGGACTTGACCCGGAGATTGCCAATCACAACACAATTTCCGGTTTGAGCGGAGGACAAAAGGTCAAGGTGGTGCTCGCAGGCGCCATGTGGGTATGTTGATGACTCCAACCGTTCTATAACAGTTCCACTGCTAACACAATTCCTGCAGAACAACCCCCATCTGCTCGTCTTGGATGAACCGACCAACTTCTTGGATCGTCAAGCCATCGGCGGTCTCGCTGTGGCAATCCGCGACTGGAAGGGCGGTGTGGTTATGATTTCCCACAACGAAGAGTTCGTGGGTGCTCTGTGTCCGGAACAATGGCACGTAGAGGACGGACGCCTCGCCGCCAAGGGTCATCTCGCTGTTGATGCGGCTCGATTCGAAGACTCTGGTGCGGCAAGTGGTGCATCTTCTCCTCGCCTTGGCGGGATCACGTCTGGACTGGCTTCAGGCGTGGCATCCGCGCTTGCGTCAGGTGTCACCTCTGGCCGCAGTTCTGCATTCCATTCTGAAGCTAGCTCCGCGGTACAGAGTGATGTTGAGTCGGGAACTGCAACGCCCAACTCGAAGAAGGCGGGGGACGACGACATGAAGTTCCGTGCCCGGAAGAAGAAGAAGCTCACCCGCGCCCAGCTCAAGGAGCGGGAGGCCCGCAGGCGGTTGAGGCACATTGAGTGGCTCAACAGTCCTAAGGGTACTCCCAAGCCTGTCGATACAGACGATGAGGCATAGATTTGGGCACGGAGATACTTGCATGTAGAAGTCGGTTGCTGCTGCATTGTTAAACGGCGTTCTGTTGCATACTTCCTGACCCTCGTCTGCGAGTGCTTGTCGCAGACCTGCACGCGCCTTGGCTTGTAGGGTATGACTGATTGGGAGGTTGGCGGTTTTGATTACAAAGTTGCATACACGCTATAGACTGGGGAAGAGATAGAGCTGGCGCCTAGGAAGCGTACAAATTGAATGAGCTACTTGTTTCGAGTGACTTGCGCATCTGACCAGGCCCGATTGTGTCTTTGACAGGCGGACAGTGCGTGGTATATGTGGGTTCCGACAATGGTCAAATTTTAGCAACACGTTTGCCGTTTTGCGAAGGAATTCGTACCATCTGCGGACGACCGTGGCACACTGAGTTGCCCTCGACAATGTCCCTATGTCTATCCATAAGGTTGTTGCTTCGTTGTTATTCCTATCAAATCTTGATACAGACCAATAGATCCTATAGCATTCTGAAAGGCGTTCTATGAATTATTCTAATATCACAAAAAGACTTGCAGAGCTCCCAGTCTGCTCCAGTCGACAGGTATTGGCAGACCAAGTCCTGCTCACGTGTGTACACAAATGTATCGTATCAGGAAGTGCGCCAGCATACTCACCAAATAAGTCAAACCTGGCAACTCTAGTAAATCAAGCACCAAAGCCCATTTCTGACCACACCTTTGTGGGGAAACCAAGCGCCAGCCTGAGGCAATCAGACGATCACCTCCGGCTAGACATAATCGCCGTACACATGGTTGAGATCGCTACATTACCATGTAAGAACTCCGCTACGAATTAATTGTTCGATGCACTGATTGACACAGCAGCTCGAGTTCGCTCACCACGAAATGTTCCGTGATCACCTTGAGATTCTCTTGGACGATGTATAGCTTGAAATGTAAGACAGTATCCAGGACAAGGAGCAGCCAAAAGCGTGTAGTAAAGTATGGTCAACTGGATTATCTTCTTTAACATAGTTTTACAAGAGTTTTGCAAGTCTTCGGTGGCTTGGCAGAGCGAAATCGTGACGAGACATCAAAAAG